TTAGATAGCAACCCAACTCGTTGGATTGTATGGCCGAGGGTAGTGGTGGAAAATGCGGTTCAGGCGTTCACCGGGACTGAGGGGATGGACGCGTTCGGCGTGCCGCCAGAGAGCAGGCTAAACGAGGAAAGCGCGAGGAAGGGACAACGACCTCGGTGTGCCCGTGTCGGGCGCGCCCTGTTTGTATAAGTGTGCGATGCGGAAAATTCGAGAAAATCGTTATATGCGTTTCACCCAGCAGCGTACACACACTCACACGCGCGAACACCAACAAGCCGGCCGCAGCAATTTGTAGCAATGTCCTTTTCCTTCTCCTGCAGCGATTACGGACTGCTCCTGGTGGCTTCTTGCATGTGTACTGGTTTACTAAGTTGGGCATACACGATGCGCCGGTTCGTCGACATAGCGACACAGCGTTCGATATAACACTGAACAAGTGAACTAAAAACATGTTCTTGGCGATTTTCTGCCGGCGGACATTTTTATACGCGCAGCGCGCGCTTATAACTTAATATATCATTAAATGTTTACGCGTCTATTTGGGTACGCATAAAATGTTTGAATGCGAAAAAGTCGTAGGCGACAACATTCGAATCTATTTATTTATTTGAGTGGATATTTTTTACGCGGACCTAACCTTGACTCGCGAGACCAATGCGCGACACTTTTTTATATTTTAATAATCATAAAATAAATTTTGATTCTAATTTTATTGAAAACTCAATGTCTCACAATTGGCTAGATAATCACCGGATGGATATTGAATATTATTTCTTGATTTGTAATTGGTTGTTTGTACAGAGGACACTTGTTACGACACGAGTCAAATTAGAGAAGAAAAAGAGTAATCAAAGTGTGCATGTGACACCGGAAATTGTTAAAGTAACTGAATAATTGCAAGCAAATTGATTTTGACATCGAGAGTAAACTTTGCTCACATTAGTAACATACCAATCAATTAGGTATTTTGAAATCCGTTGTACGCGTACTACAAATTGCAATTTCATCAGTAGGTAAACTTGACTTATTGAAATATTGAAATCCAGTGAGTGCCACTTGAGCGCGTTTCGCTCTCTAGCAGTCGTAATTGTTATATAAACTTGACTTGATTTGATTTAAATGTTATTAGGTGAGTTTTGTACACATTTCACAACGGTGCGTAAATTTTGGCTGTGCAGTTGATAAATAATAATCAAGGCTACCTTGTAACATTTAAATTGAAATCGAACATAATAAATTAATCCGGATTTCATAATGCTCATTGCGACTACGATAAACATTGGAACTTGAAAAATGTTTCGGTGCACTAAATTTTCTATTTTCGACAAACGAAAGGCGTAATGGCTGTGCGTTCGTCTACCTTTTGAAGATGACACGAATATTTGAGTCACTAACTGTGTGTGTCTCTCTGTGCTGTCGCAGTGTAGCAATTTGTGCAAGCTTCCGGGCTCTATTTTCATCGTGTGCGCGCACACACGTCGCCGCGCAGAGGCAGGAGCCATTAGTCGAAATAAATTTCAAAAGTGCCACCACACCAAGATATGGCTGCGCGTTTTTCCTATGATCGGGCGCGTTGCAAATGCTAAATGAATTAAATGTCGCCGCCGTTGTGCGCTGCTGCCGGGTTCGCGTTCAATTATCGATTCATAGGACGCCCGCCCGCCGGACGGTTGGCTGGAAGCGCATCCGTTTCCCATGTTGGCACTGCGACACTGCAATAACTCGCTGGGAAGTAAACAAATACACAAATTGCATTACGCACTAATAAGTATCAACATAATCGAATTTTCACACTTTTTTTTCGGCACAGCGCCAATTATACGTGTAATAAATGTATAACTTGATCAAAAATTCTAATTGATGTTGAGTATGAAATTGTACTAACACCTAGTCTAAATAAATTAGTAGGTTTAAAATTAAACGTCGTGTCTAGCTGTGCTGCAAGCCAGTGGGTAGTCAAACAGTCGTATAAAAACACTTAGCAAGCGCGCGCGCGCCTCGCGCTCGCGGTGTGTGTCTATTATTACGTGGTGGCATTTACCCGCCGCGCGGATATTTCGAGACGCCGGCGAAGACGCTCCCGAGACTCTGGTGACTCTATGACAACTACTCACACTCACACTTGGTCGCAACTATTTCGACTAGGCATGTACTTTTATTTGGTACGCCACGCTGCGGTGCGGCGCTAGTGTTTTTCGTTTTTATTGTGCTGCGGCGACGATGCCGCAGCCTGGAGCGCGGCCAGCTCGTTGACATTTCCAAGGCGTACGGACGCGCGTCGCCGGGTGCATTCCCCGCAAGTTCCAGTTTCGTTTGGGTCTCTTTCCTTGCCTATTCCTACTAGTCTCGTTTTCAATTTCCTTCTACTCTGTTGTCAATTGGCAATTTTCATCGTATCGATATTCCATTCGCAACCAGCTACCACTATTATATTTTGATGTATGTCATTAGTTGACTGGCGTTTCCAATCAGAAGTCATGCATACAAAAACAAAAATATAATTTAAAAAAATAAAAAAAAAAGCGTTTAAGAACTCAACAAAAAAAATTGTTCAGAAGTTTCGCCCGGTGAATGACTGTATTGTTTTAATTAAGTCTTGGGTTTTATAGGCTTTTAACTAACCGAAATGTAAAATGCATGTTTATAGGTGAGGTGAAGTCGGTGTAGGTGTTTGGTGGAAGTGAACACTTTGAGCAAAAGGTGGCATCGAGCGCGCGCGCGTGTTGCTCTTTCGTGTTGTGCTCGTTGGGTTTTTGATTGCTTTGCTTCACTTTGGTTTGTTTGCGTCGTCGGGGCTTTTGTTTCTTCAACGCCGCGAGACGATGGAGTGGTCGGGGTGTTAGCATTGAGATGGAGATGTAGTGGACCATTGGAGATTTAATTATCGAGTGACCACATCCCACGTCCAACTTGTCTGCAATGCAAAGCGACGCGCTTGGAAAAATATTTCGAATACAATCATCATTGCATTAACCAACCGTGTGTGTACGTATGATGTCTTTGGATGAAATGTGAATGTCTAATTTCTATAATAATACTGCGGGTATTTATACATTTGAATGCACGTAAACAAACGAAAAGGAAATGTGCGCAGCCGGCCTACGCAAAAGTCATTAGAACCTGAGTGAAATGGGAACGTTGACTATCTCTATGTCTATTCCTATTTCAAGATAAATCATTGCTCACAGTGGCTATAGGATTGTAATTGGAGCGTCGCATCTTTAAATCACAACCAGCTTCATCCAACAATACAAATATATTTTATTTATTTTCATCTGTTTATATTTATATTACGAGTTAATTAATTTGTCTACACGCCTATGTCGATGATGTCAGGAAGCACGTTGAGCTCGTTGCATTGCGGGTCACAGAAACGACGACGATGCACATCGCTTGTAATTAACAATTACAATTACGCTTCCCATGCATGCGCCGCGCGTTAATAGTTAATGGACTAGGCTGGATCGTCGCGATCAGGAAATCGAGCGCGTCCTGTACAGCAGCAGCAGCGCACTGGGTTTAGTAAATATGCAATTCACAGACTAGTCTAGACACACACTCGCTGTGTGGTGATGTGACACTAGTAATTTTCATATTCTAGATTGGATTGTAAAATAAATCACTTTGGCGAAGGAAAGTGAATGAAGTTATAAATCCACCTGCGATTTATGCAAGCAAGCGCGCGCGCATTGGCATTAATTTGCATCGGACGCTGCTGAAGGAGAAGATGAGTGAGACGCGCCGAAGAATGTGCCTATTTAGAAGTGTGCGCAATGCTGGCTATGACGACGATGTCGTCTTAAATATAGACGTGGACTCTCCCGGAGTTTGGCGTTGACCTCCGCCGTGAGTACGATCATGAGCGGCGATAAAGACATGCCTATGTCTAAGAATAAAATCTGTCGGTTTTTTTTTATTCTTCTCTATTTTGATGTCTTCTCTGAGGATTCGAATGTTTAATCATTTTATTTAAATTGGTCTAATAGTGCACTAAAAATATGGGATGTGTGAGGTTGAAGATGAGAAACATAAAAGCGGCCTTTTCACATTTTACAACCTTGAAAATGTGCGTATTTTTCTGTGCGCGCTTTTTTGCATACCGAAAACCAAATAAAACGCAGCACAAAGGACAAAAACCATGGTGAATTGTAGTACGAATGGTGTACAAATGAAACCTGTCCTCTTGGTCTCTTGGTCGTCGTCGTCGTCTATAGAACCAGCAGTGTACATACCGTCTCGCGAGAACAGAAGAGCCGTGAGTGGAACCGCGCGGTGTGAGTATGAAGAGTGGTCTATAATAAATCCCGACCTTACCTGCTTTCTGGTCGCGCTGGTCGGTCGGTAGGTTCGTCTCAGCGGCGTCGTGTGTTTGCGCCTCGCTCGCGCTATTCTCTTCGCTTGCGCGGCCGCATCGGGGCTTGGTCTCGGTCTGGGTTGTGTGCTGTCGGGTCGATTCTCTCTCCGATTCTTGAGAACCGAGCCACCGCGAAGCCGTCGCGCACCAAGGTTATTGTAATAACGTAAATGCGAGCGCACTTGATAATGCAATGTCTCCGAGCGCAATGCCGCGATCATAATGGCGCTTAATGCTCGTTTTGTCCATGGGTTATGGATGCTGGGAACAGTGGGAAACTGAAACGTCGAATGATGATTGAAATTTCGGGTTTGACGAGTGGAGTGGTTAACAATCCAATTCCTGGTAACGTTTTTTTATTTTTCGTCGTTTGTTTTGGATTCAGCATGATTGGGGCGAGGAAAAAAAAGAGTGCCTATGTGCGAAGGTTGTCCGGATGAGAATTCGCACGCAGTCAGCGCCCGCACACAAGGTGAATGCCGCGATGACCTGCCGCGCACAGGTTGAAGGGCGGTTCGAAACACACACCGATATGCACGCTTAATGCATTTGCTACTTCACCAGCTTCTCCAGCTTAGACTAGTTGTAGAAATAAGTTGGTGGATGATTATTGTGTTTCTTGACCGAAATTTCCGTTTTGTTTCAGGATGCAAGATCAAGGCGCTGCGCGCAAAGACAAACACGTACATCAAGACGCCCGTTCGCGGCGAGGAGCCCGTGTTTGTTGTGACGGGGCGCAAGGAGGACGTCGCCAAGGCAAAACGTGAGATCCTCTCTGCCGCCGAGCACTTCTCGCAGATTCGCGCGTCGCGCAAAAACAACCTCGCCGGCCTCGGCTCGGGCACGAGCACCCCGCCCGGCCCGCCGGCCAACATTCCCGGCCATATCACCATCCAAGTGCGCGTGCCGTACCGCGTCGTTGGGCTGGTGGTCGGGCCTAAGGGCGCCACTATCAAGCGTATCCAGCATCAAACGCACACGTACATTGTGACACCCAGCCGCGACAAGGAGCCCGTCTTTGAGGTGACCGGCCTTCCCGAAAGCGTCGACACGGCGCGCCGCGAAATCGAAGCGCACATTGCGATGCGCACCGGTAATGGCGCCTCCATCAACGGCAACGGCATCAACTCGCTCGGCGGCAACATTGATGACGCCAGCGAGATTCTCAGCAATCTGTACAAGAACGGCTTCAATTCGTTGTTTAACTACATGGAACCGCAGGCGGATGCGTTTCCCAACATGACTTCATCCACTGGCAGCACGGGCGCCTTCTCCAGCTCCGGCTCGTGCTCATCGTCGTCTTCGAGCTCGGGCGGACGTGGTGATCTCGGCGCGATTTGGAGCTCGAATGAGCGCGATGAAGGGCTTGGCGATTCGCCCAGCTTTGACTCCTCCACAGCACTGAGCAGCATCTGGTCGTATCCCAATCCGGCCGCCGCCGCTTCATCGGTGCCGTCGCGCCCATCGCCGGCGAACAGCACCAGTCCCGCTGATTCACTACTCAGCTCAGCAAAGTGTTTGGTCTGCAGCGAGGGTAAAGTCACGCACGCGCTTGTGCCGTGCGGCCACAACTTCTTCTGCATGGAGTGCGCCAACCGCGTGTGCGAAGGCAGCGAGGCGCAGTGCCCGTTCTGTTCGCTGCCCGCGCTGCAGGCGATCCGCATCTATTCGCCGAATCCTTAAATTGCATCAAATCGACTGTTGAGCGACCGCGCGCGACTCCAACCACCAGATCGATCTCGTTCAAGAAATCCTCTATACACGTAATTCATTATTAGTGCTATCACCACATTAAATGCGCCCATACACACACACGTACATACACATATTTTCCGGGCGGCTGAAAATCCAAACTTTAATCGAAATCATCCAGCGTCGCACGATCCACACAACGAAACTTTATGAAAAAAGTATTGAAACGTATAATATATTTGAATATTTAATTATTTTTTGTTATTTGTTTATTTATGGTTTGTTGATATCTATATTTGTAACTAGATATTAAAACGGTGCGGACTGGATCATTTCGATTGCGATTCGGATTTTGCACGCGGTGGAGGCGCCGGGCACCGCCCGGGAACTCAGTCATTTATATTGCCAGTGACCCACACACACACACACATGCATACACACAAAACACGAACTTATAAACAACTCATTCTTGAAGAGCAGCGGCAGTACGCCCACAAGAGTGCTGCTTGCTGGCGCAACTCTGGGGAGATGAAGATGAACATTTGATATTTTCTTATGTATTGTATGATCACACATTTTTATAGTATTAGAGAGTTTTTATTGAAAAGAAAATGGAAAAAATCAAATAATGTCGGTATAACTATATTATATATTTTTTGTTTGTTTACATAATGATAATTAGAAGAATTTGATAATTTTTATATTAAAGCCAGAAACGACGGAAGAATTAATCAAAGCGCACTCGTGGCGCGCGCGCATTTAAACCAGTGCTCTCTTATCTCAGAAGATTGTTGTTGTAAAAAAAAGAAGATTCTACACACACACGTATACATACACGCAATACTTTTAGTTTTTGTTTTAATTTTTTTTTTTAAATTTACTTTTAACGTTTGTTCCTTCGGGCGCTCGACATAAGCAAATATAAGACAAGAAAAGACAAGCCACATTTGAATTTACAAAATGCAAATCAATAGAGAGATGTTTATATTATGCCGTTGCATACAGACAGCAAAAAAAAAACAGAACGTATATTAGAGGTATTTATTACTAAGTGTTTATCGTTATTTTTTATTAATATTATGATATAATTATTATTTTGATGATTACGCAGAGTATGCGACTAAGCGACGATATTTTGCGGTGGGTGATGAAAATGGAAAACGTATATTTTTTTATTTTTTCGCCATGTGATTTGCCACCACACGAACGAATACGAAGCAAGAAAAAAACACAAAGTAAACACAAAAAACGCGAGTGACTCGTACGTCACACAAGTGTAAACACTCACACACACTAAAAAAAAAACGTAAGCAAGCAGGAAGAAAGCATATGCTGTGCGGTGAATGAAAGATAAAAGTAATAAAATATGAAAACACAAAAATATGGAAATAATTACAAGTCTGATTCAGCAATTCTCAATATTGTTTAAGAAGAAAAATGAAGTATAATATGAAATAAATTAACTATTATTATTATATTCTACTAAGCTAAATATTAATATAACAATTGAAGTTTAACTAATATATTATTGTAAAAAAATATATCTAATATCTATCGTACGAGAAGCAAACGGAAGCAGACGGGGAGCGTTTGGGAGATGGAAAAGTGTCGCGGGACATTTTTCGGTTTTCGGCTGTTTTTTCCGCCACCATCCTCCTCTTGCAACTCTTGCAAAACAGACAGATGAAGAACATCAATATTCGTGCGCTATTTTGAATGTTTCGCGTCTTCGATTATATGTAATCTTAGAATGTAACAACTTTGCTTAAGGATTTAAATATGCTAATGAAAGGTGAAATTTGAACACGCGCTGAATACAAACAAAAAAAAAATCATACCAGACACGAGACGAAAAACGTTAACTAGGATTATTCAGAAACTGGGTGACGAAAACAGGGGCCTGGCTGTGATCCGAACTGCCACACTGGTCGCGTCCGCCGCACAATTCAAACGCACGCCGGTTGATTGAGAACAACTAAAAAAGCTACACGATGTTTCGCACTCCTAATAAACGACATACATATCCCTTAATTGTTAGTTGAATCGAAAATAACTCACAAATAACGATTGTTACTATTGTTCTGTTATTATGTGTCATTGTGATGTGTGATAAACATATATTTCTTATATAGCCGATAAGTTAAAGAGTATTTTATAGTGAAAGACGACGGATAAAGTCAGTTCGCGCTGCAAAACGTGTGTGGCGAGTATAATAAACTAATACAAAACACACAACTCACACACAAGCAAAAACACGTGAATAAATTGTTTATGAATGATGAATGATAATAAATACCGCGGACTCGTGTAGCTACTGCGCATGCGCGCACGTGGCGCGAATTGTGGCGGGCGCGATCGCGAGCGTTGCGCAACCAAAACACACACCTGAGTAAAACAAATGAGACAACATCGTTTTGTGGCAAGACGCAACCCTATAATTATAATTAAATTAGTCGTAGCTTTGCGCGGCCCCAGATCCCAGTGGAAAAACGTATTGGAATCCGAACACTCTCGGACTACGTTCGACAATCTCTGTGGCTCGAGGAGCGAGGTCACTCTTGATCATATATAGATACATAACATAACCACACTCGACGTACGCCATCTTGTCATCGGGTTTCATTCATATCGGCGCATTTACACACGAATTCGTTTCGGAAATACGTACAATAGAGCGGGGGAAAAAAGAAAAGATTAAAACAGAAACCTAACCTAAACAGACACATTATGATTGTATATAAGTTGTTGTTTTATAGCTATTAATACCATTTATTATTATTATTATCTATTATTATTTTATTTTTTTACATATTTTTGTGAAGATATATTTAATATTATGAATGTTAGTACAAGTACACATGTCCACAAAGTTTATATTTGATGAATACCCTTATTAATATTATTATTATATTACACTATTATTATTATTGAAAAAGAAAGAAGAAAAACAAACGAAATCATCCTCTCGATTGTGTGCAGCGTGACTGTTTTTTTTATTATTATTATTATTATTATTTTTATTTTGGATATATGTTTCAATTGGATAGATTTTTGGATTTATTATTATATGATATATTTATATTTGGTAAAATATTCGAGAAAACGATTTGATGATGATAATTTTTGCATTGCACATTAGCAGCAAGCAGATGATTTTTTTTTTTGAGTTTGAAATTCTGTTGTACAGGTGTGTTTTATTTAATTTTAGTAGCAAAGTGTGAAAATTTCATTCATCAGTCGAGACACGACGCTTATATCACTAGAGTTAATATTTAATATATTTTTGATTGAATTTATTTGATCGCCATCGGATCATTTGCGAGATGATGATGGGGTGAAGGTGGGTGGTATGTGAGTTTTTGCGTCAGTCCATTTTTTTCTATGTGCTGAATTTAATTAAACTCGCAGGACATCGCGGATCTTTATTAATTACTAGTTTTGATTGTGTTGTGAATTTATTATGAAAGACTATATGGATCCGTGTGGGATGTCTTGCGGGGCACCTAAACCTAATAAACTAAATGAAAACGTGTGCTAAAGACTACGACGCTGAACTCACTCGCCGCCCCCCGAACGCTCCGAATCACTCTCGCGGAATTTTAGAGCAAATTTAATTTTGATTGTAACCGAATAAGAAGTTTGAAATTCTGTTCAGAGGTTAAACTATGAGAGCAAAGATGGGATCGGAAGTTTACAGATACCCCCAACTAGCCAGAATATTTTTAAGATTTTTTTATTATTAATATGATAAATTTAATTGCTACCAAATATTGTCATATATGATATATATTTAATAATAAATTTCTTGATTACAATCGTTTATTTTATGTTTTTTTAATTTATTTTTTTTTTTTGTTTTGTGTTTGTTTGCATGTATTTTATTTTTGTAGGTTATGTCTTATGCACACGATGAAGATGGCGCCACACGAACGGTAAAATGGCGTATACACTAACAAACTAACATTCCACCGTTAAGATTAATCTATTCTAAGCTCTGAAACAGCGAAAACTATTCATCCACATATTAGCGCATCACTAAAAAAGAAGAAAAACATTATTTAATATTCTATTAATTATATTGACAAGAAAATGAAGAGAAACGATGTTATTATTATGCATTTAAACTTTATACTAATAAATACCTAATAAAAAATAAATAATATATATTATTATAAATATATATATATATCTATAGACATTTGAAATAAAACAATATAAAATGCAAAAAAAAACACAAAAAAATTGTATCTCGTGAAATGTGTGAAATACATTTATTATATTATATATTACATATAAAATTTTTAACATATTTCTGCTCAAACAAACAAAGAAAACAAAAGATATAGGTGAAAAAGAATACAATATTATATTATAAGTGATTATGATAAATTATGATAAAATAATTTAATTTCATAGGATTGGCTATAAAGTGGCGCAGAAATGGACAAGGAATGTGGTCCCCCCTTGATGGGTTAGCACGGGATGATTATCTCTTGAAAAATTAAAATAAATCGCAAACGAAAATTTGAATAATTAGGCAATTATACGATATAACTAAATTTTACAATACAAATTAAAACTTAGACGTTTTTCGGCTTGATGGAACTCGGTTAGGGTATAATTATTAGGCAATATGTATGCATGCACGCGATGGCAGCCATCTTACGTCTACGTCAAGATGACGCCTCGGCTAGCATGAATACAATGTAGGATTCGTACGTTAGGAATCGTTTTCGATTTGATTAGAATGATTAAATATGTTGTGTGCTGTGCAAAAAAAAATTAAAACGTAGGAAAATTTTCACTCTTTGATTCATTGGTAATTGAGAGAACATTAAGGGGGTGCAGACCGAAATGAAACGAAATGAACGATGGAAAAAATGCTGACGTTGGAATAATATTTTGATTTCATTGCGAATTTAAAATGAATATTTGAAGAATAAAAAAATGAAAAGTCTTCCCGCCCGTAAATTTCTAACGTTGAAAGAAATTGATGACACTAACCAAAACCATCATGGGTTTCTCATCAGATCAATCATCATTCATTATATTGTTCATTCATTTTCATTAAATATTAACCATTAACAAATGGAGAACAAAAATAAAGACACACTTATATCATTCGATGCAATAAACATGTTTGCTTGAGATTTATTTAGAGCACAATATTGGCAGTTAAGCAATTGATTATCTACGGATTATTTGATGAATTTTTATTATCACGAGCTACGTATAAACATTGCATGTGTTTTTCGGTGTTTCCTTCTCGTTTTTATCGAATGTAAGATATACAAATATATATAAATATTTAGTGTTTGTTACTTTATATTACTCACATTCAGCTATCATTTGATGATGTGAATTTTTATTAATAAGCCTTTAATTATCAAAGGAATCGAGAGGCTGAAAGATTGCAATACATTCAAACATTTCAACACACAAAGATGAAGAAGAAGAAGACAAAAAGTTTGGAAATCTTATATTAAGAGGACGACTTTTGATGTGCATACAAACATTTACTCGTCATTTATATCGATGTGAAACCAAAACTCATGTATCATCGTTCGAAACTCAACTCGCATGTGTACTACTTAATCCTAATTAATGGAATTTACTGCGTTTTTCTCGTGAACATAATAACGTAAATAAAACTAACTAAAGCGTGTACCTATAAGCAAATGAAAGAAGAAATTAAGTGGAAAACAAACCCATCAAAGTCAATCGCGCATGCGCGGTTGATATATATTTGATATTCGTTGTCGTTTCTGCCCTTGTCATATAAACATACACATATACACACACCCACGCCTACACATCAGCATAAAGCGGCATCATCCTGAACAATCATTCGGATGCCATGTATCAACGATTCATCTTGACACATACACATTGTACCATCACGAAGATACCAAAACGTTTGGGCTTCAAATTTAACAAAGAAAAAAATCACAAAAATAACAAATTTGAACAAAGAGAAGAGAATAATCTGTATATTACAGCATATTTTTAAACACTTAATATACAGGCCTAAATAAACTAATACTATTATAATACGGATATAAAATTGATAAGGCAAAGGTAAAATGAAAACTTCTATTAACATTAAAAATATATTACAATATATATATAAATATATTTCATATATAAATATAATATACATATATACCTATATATTGATTAAGGGATGAATAAGACAACAAATGATTCATGGCGCTTTTGATTTTCTATGCAAATTCTGAGCACAATTACTCTAAACATCATGCAAAGCAAAAAGCAAAACAAAAACTAATATCAATCGTTAAAAGTGTAAGATGGCTTCCAAGCGTGTGACAAAATGGCCGCCGTGTTGGGGCCGACATTTTTACTGTTGACGTATGCGCGCGGATTTTCGTTTAAATTTGAATGTCTATTCGCATTTCTAGAACAACAAGCAAATGCTTCTTATTAATCTAAAAAACGCGTAGGAAACCAGTAGCGAATTTGTAGTTGGAAACAAAAAGGCGTAACATCAATATATTGCTATACCTAATTAATAACATAGATTGAACACTGAATAATACGTGTGTTGGACATTTATCTGCGTTCCTAATCGCATGCAGAGCAAAAACAAGAAAACTCTTAACGAACATTGACGAATATTATAACCGACTGAAATTAACAAATACCTTACAGAGGAGTTGAATGCAACACAACATTCAGTAAATAGATAATAATTAATCCAAATCAACCACACATTAACACACACTTCAAGAATTAAACGAAAAAAAAAAAACTGTTGACTTTTAACGCATAATAGCCTAAGATAAATAGAACTCTACTCAATATATTGATATATCAAAATTTCGTCTTCTAATCGTAACCGAAAGCAATAAGATAACGGACACAGTTATTTTAAATGAAAATTTTTAATGAAAAACTTCTAGAAACTGTAGAATTTGTTTGACAGAGGACATTTTTCGATGAAGCATTTGAATTCAAATACCGTCACCAACACACACTTAACACATTTTGCAGTAAAACTTAATCAAGCATCGTAATGAGTAATATGAATAAAAATATATGAAAAAAATCTTACAAAAAAAATTGAACAAAAGAGTAGTGTTTGTAATACGAGAACAATATTTAACTATATTTATCTACTACTTTTTGAAAAACGATAATCTTAGTGTTACGATTTTCTACATGTAATCCCAGAAAAACACATACACATGAACGACGCAGCGCTACAATTCAGTAAATTAATTAGCGTATAGTAGTGGAGAAACAAATAAGTAACGTAAAGTCTAGAATGCGCAGCACAGTTAAAACGCACTTAAAACGCAGTTTTGGTTACGAAGCAGACGCAAGCCACAAAATGGCGTACGCAGATGGCGCTGTTCATCACGAAAGTGGATCTAAATTTGTGCTGGACAAGTTCACGTTTTGTTACGTCGGTGCAGTCAACAGGAAGTAAAAGCGGCTCAAATTTCTGTATTTTCACTGGTTCCTGTATGGCTGCGCCGATGTTTTGCTGTGGTACTAATATTCGGCAAATTCCCAATTGATTTCATGCAGTTCTGATTAATCATTCATTGCACACACGCTGCACGTCGAACATCAACACTCAATCAATGTCTCTTGGACGTCTTCGGATGTCATTCCAATAGATATAGTCAGCGTAATCTTAATTAATATTAAGCAGTAACCACAAAACGAGGATTTAAGAGCAAACTAAAATTTCTAAAAATAAAAACGAAAAAAAGAGACCACAACGTCTATAACGTTTATAAAAGAATGAAAACACTATAACAGCAGTTAAGTAACCGAGCACAATAATTTGATCATATCAAAGCTTCACTGTGATTCGTAAGACTGACTTAAATGTTATTTCGGAATATTATAGACGACGAAGATGATAATGAACAAAAACATTTTAATATAACAATAACAACAATATTATGACGTTTGTCTTTGATTTGTTTGTTGGTTTACATTGTTTATTGTGTTATACGGGTTCAATAGATATGATTTGAGGTTATGTCAAGTCACGAGTCACAAATTTACGAAGCTTTTGATGAACACTGCCATCTCGCCGTACGCCGCCGATGTCGGAAACAATCATTGCAGCGGAAATACGTATACTGATACTGTTACATGTTTAGATTTTAGCCAAGATGGCGCAGGTTGCTGGATGCGAGTTGCTTTCGCGCAATAAATGTACTAATGTAATATTAATCGTGTCGTCATTTTGTTGCTATATAACCGGGGATCAGTCACTGAAAACGAAACATCGACATTTACTTACTAATCAATTTGTTGCACTTACCAAAAGAAATTTGCAACAAGAGGTGCCAAAGAAACACAACACATTCACACTTAAACACAGAATAACGCTATGCGCTTAAAAGTTTGCATAAAATGAACCGAATTTGAAAAAACTCCATAAAGCAATATTTAGATGAAGAGAAATTGGCAACAACCGGGCACAAATTGGCGGATTTGTAAACACAAAAGACTTAAATCAATGACGACGAAGATTTTTAAACGTATGTAAGAAGTACAAAAGTAACCATTTTTATAGCTGTAGACAAGTTGAACATACACGCATACATATATACACATTCATGCAACCAACAATACACGTGTTTAATATTTCTTAAGCTAAAAACTAGATTGGCAAATGTAAGCGAGCCTTACACGTAAGTAAGTTTAAATTATCAAATAAGAATCAGCAGTCCGCCAATTCGTCAGCCAATCAAACGTGGAAAGATCCGAGAATAATAAGAAAGCGCACGTAAAAATCGTCAGACATCATAGACACCAACAATTTAAGGTT